AAAAAAAAAAATTTGAAAAAAAAAAAAAGAAAATTGTAACAAAAAAAAAAAAGCATTTCATATATAAAGAAAACTATACTATATAAAAAAGACCGTTAAAAAAATAAAAAATAAAAAAAATCTCCGAACAGTTCATAGAGATGAATTCATCTTTGCGAACTGTACGAAGAGATCACTTTTCCCTCTGCACTCTCCGCACAGTGCGGAGTTTTCAAAAAAAATTTCTCTAACAATAACAAATTAAAACAGCAAACTAAAAACTAAACATAATTATTGTATAAAAAAAATAAGTATAAATTTTGGTTGTTCAAACTACTAATAAAAAAAATTAGTAAGCTGATTTCTCACAAAGAGTTCTGAACCATCTCTTTATGGCACCTGATTTTTTTTATTTTTTATTTTTTGATCAAAACAAATACAAGTACCCAAAAAGTATAAACACCACTAAATATCAACCCGTTAAAATGAAGGTCCTTAAACGTCGATCTGTAGAATGAAGTTGCACTTCATACATCAGATTTTTTAGTTGAGGATTCTCAATGCACGTCTACTTTCTCTTTCTTTCACAGGCTCGCATATTTTTAAACCAATCACCAACATTTTTTTCAGAAATAACAAGATTGTGTAACGATAAGGTGGAGACTATATGTAGAATTTCTATATTATTTTTCCTCCATCAAATATGCATCGAAGAAAATCAACCTCTGTATATGTAGGTATCCAACGTTGCTGTCTTCTCATGCCAACAGCAAGCTTAAATGCCAAAAAAAAAAAAAAAGAGAGAGAGAGAATCAAAGATGAAGTGAGAATATCTGAAATGTGGTCCAATAAAAACAGAATTCACCAAAATGAAAAAAAAAAATTAAAAATGAAGATATCAATAAAAAGGAAAATAAGGAGTATGGTCGTGGAAGTACGGTTAACATGGTTGTCGACATGGTCGCAACAAAGAATTTTTTTTTTTAAAATAGGGAAAATATAGTGAACAGTAAAATAGGATTGCTTTACTATTGTATCTACAGTTGCATCCTATTCACCTTTTTATTAGAAGTTAGATAATACAAAGCTATTTTTTGTGGCCTCCCAAGTAGAATAGCACAATACTTTAATTGATTAGTGTTCTTGGTGTGTGAATCTAAATTGTTAAAGACCATTTTGTTATTAAAATAATTTCTTTTGGAGTTTAAATTTATTAATATGTAATTAAATTAATTATTGACTTTAATTTAGATTAAAATTTTAATTTTAATTTGTACCAAAGATGGGCTTGATGGGAATTAAAATTAGAATTTTAGTAGATTTTGATAGAAATCAATGAAATGTGTAGTTCAAAAGTTGTAGGACCGATAAAATATATGATGAAATAAATTGCTGACTTTGACTTAAGTTAAAATCTAGATTTTAATTGGTACCAAACATGGACTTATTAAATTCTAGCTATCTAACATATATAGATATTGTAATTTTTCTTCGATTATTTCCATTATTGTTTTTAAGTCAATTTTCTTTATAATTCACAGATAAAAAATAAAATATAAATTCCCCTTTTATCCTCAAACAAAAATGCTATGAACTTATACCTCATTAATCTTAAGAGAAGGTAGATTATCAGCCCAAGAAAACTATGTAGATCACTAGACTTTTCTTCATTTAATCGAAAGTGGAGAGCGGAACTTGACGTTTGGACATAAGCATATTTAGCAGCTGTGATTTAGCCAATTCTACCAGCGATAATAGTTGCAATTAGAAGATAAGCCATTTCTTATGTCCTTCTCATCTCTCTCTCTCTCTCTCTAGTTGTTTAATTGCAAGGCATATAAATATTATTTGTTTGAGCTTATTGGTCGTTGAGTTAGTTCCCTCGATATACAAAATGAAAGGTTTTGACAAGACATGCTTGTTATTCTTCAAACATCCAATAACTTTCTAGATATAGATGGGTGAGTGATTACTACGTTTTTAAGCAGCTTATGTATGAGTTTTCAAGCACAACACATAGAGTTGGTTGAATGATTGATCCGAAAAAAGTTGACGACAACGGAATGTGGAGCTCATGCCTCTTTAAACAACTCTTCTTCTCTTCTTTTGTGTGTCACACAGTAAGATCGGCCACCACATTTTCTTGATGGTCTATCTTATGGAAGGTTTTATTGATTGATACTTTGAAAAGAGAAAATTCATGCTATCGATGCAAAAATGATGTGGAGATTTATACAAATCATCTCCAAAATATGTTGGCATCTTTATAATTCCTTTCACCACTTTGTGAATAACAATTTAAGAACATGTACTATGCTTAAAAAGTAAGTCTTAACTTATTTTCTATTTTGTCTAAAATATTTTTTAAAGTTAGTTTTCTTTGTTAACAATAATAAACACTCTAGGTGTCTTGATTTATTAATAACGGAAGTAAAATATAAGAGAATAAAAGTAAAACCTACCCTTAGGGGCGAATCCAGCATCAACCTTCAGTTAGGGCGAAGGTTGAATTTGACCGTTGATCATCGTCCGTTGACAATCAATGATCGTAAAAGCCCAGTCTGGTCGGTGGCCCGAGACTTCTTTGTGTTATTTAACAACTCGAGTGATCAACTAGTAGCGGCAGCGGGACTAGAAGCACAACTCGAACTAGGAGAACTAGGTATAGACTTTCGTTTCGGTTAAAAAAATCGTTCCATAATCTACAAAATGCCCCAATTTAATTTTCAATTAGAGTTGATTAAAAATTCAACAATTCAACCATTTATTAACCATCATAAAAACTTTCCAACTTCCCACCATTTATTAAAAGCCCCAAATTTCGTTATCAAACCCGTTTCTCCCACTACGGCATTACTTATTTACTTTCCAGTTTCCACCATTTATTGAAAGCCATAAACACTTCATACAAACTTAAATCACAATAAAACAAATTCATAAAAACTTAAATCAAAACTCAAAAGGACGAAAGTCACGAGATTATTTACAGATAAAATTTAAAAATACCGCAAATCTCTAAACCGCTCAACTGAAAACATCACAATAAAACCAATTCCAACAAAATCCCCAAATAAGCTGTAAGCCTAAGCTGAAGCAATTCAAAAATCAAAACCCTAAAAATTAATACCTAATTAGGCAGAGAGAGAGAGAGCGCATAACAAACTACTAAAAAAAAAACAATAATTAAACATAAACAATAAACATGCCCCAATTTAACGTATGAAAATTGAAATTGAAATGATAATGATATCACAAATTCACATATCACAATCGTACCAGTTGGAAGTTGGCAGTTGCAGACGCCTTTGCGTACTTGCGGGCTTGCGGAGTGGGGACTTCAGATTCAGCACACCGTTCATGCTCGTCGCTCACCGATAAGGAATTGGATTTAGGGGAAAGGGCCAACTGATTTTGAAATCGCCTACGAAATCAGGAGCGCTGTGCGGAGTTGGAGTGGACTATCAAACTGGAATTGGACCTCTGTCTGGTAATAATCTAGTTTTTTTTATCTATTTAGGCAATTGGGCTTCTGAATTTGGGCCAGCCTAATTAAAAAAAGGCCCAAAAGTCCAAAACAGAATTCAGCATCACAGGCAGAATCAGAGCCAGCAACCAACATGGGCGAATTGGCGATGTCTGTCGATCTGCAACTGGCATCACAGACCCGACGGAGGTTCCAGCGAATACAGCTAAGGCGGCCCCCTAGCTGGTCACCCTCTAAATCTGCCACGGTTACCCTTTCAAAATGGGATAGTACGATGAAAAGTTAAAGAATTAAATTTTATGTTCCCTAGCCATAATTACCATAAGAAATTTTACTTTTAACTATGAAATTCTTTTACTTTGAAAATTTTTCCATGACCCTTTTTCGACGAAACTACCTAACATTATGACATTTGATGACAAAAAAATCATAGGAAAATGAGTTTTTTAACTTAACGCTTTTGAAAGATTACCTTTTAAACACAGGTGATGATTAATATGATTCACATATAGGAGATGCTGGTTAACAAATATGTGAAATTTAATTAAGTGACTAAATTACAAATATCGATATTAGAAGAATAATATTATATAGCATAGTGCTTAACACCAATAATTAGGTGATAGTGGAAGCTCATCTAAACTTGTTCAATAAGTTAAAAAACTTTTTAATTTCACTGAACAATTAAAAATTTATTTTCACTTTCACATAGACTGATGTTAAGTACTCATAATACTAAAAATATATTGTGCTATTCTACTAGGCCCACCTACCACTCATAGGCAAATGGGTGTGGTATTATTTTGGCCATTTTATAATTGGGCAGGACCCACCCCATTGTGAGTAATTTGTACAAAATCTGGTAGAATAGCTTTGTCCAAATAATATTAAACACATATAACACTCTTGGAAACTCATGACTTAGTGCACTCTCTCTCTTTTTACTCCACTTTAACTTTCTCCTATTCTCACTCTTTCTTTGTCTCTCTGCTCACACTTTCTCTTCGCTTTTCACTCAATGTATCTGACTCTTTCGTGTTTTCCCCTTCATCTATCTTTAGACTGGTATGCTTGGTACTTGATTTCTCATGTCCACCTGATTTTCTTATTTGTGAAATTTGTACTTACCTTTTCTAGACCATCTCATATTTCCCAGAACTCTGTATTTCTCTTATAAACTCTTCTTTAACATTTGATACCTATAGATCTTTAGATCCCTCGGCGGTTCATTATACTTTCGTGATCTCCTCTTGCAATTTATCTTTCATTTCCTTTAAATATAGTAGCTCCACCCTTTGCAGTGTCTACCAATAATATGTTTCTTCAAACATTTCATTTGAATCTGGTAGCTCCTGTCTGCGGAATCCACCAAGAACACTTTTCATGAACCTTGATGTCCCCTCCAGAGTAATCAATCTAATTTTCTTTGTAATCTATTTGTTCAGGCAGGACTATTACCAATGCTAATTCATCCTTTGGACTTGAATTGATTTTCCTTTTTGAGCATGTTCAATTATTGTTGTGGATGCCTCTTCACTATTATGCTTCCCCCATTTTTTCCACGTTTTAATGTTTGGAATAATATTTTTTTGAAGAATACGTGGTTGAAAAAAAATGAAAAATTTTCGATTTACGTGTAATATTATTTTATGGAAGATTGTGTGGTTGAAGGGGCTATATATTTCTAGTTCATTCGAAGCTGCCAAATTGCCTTCTGATCAAACTTGCTCCTCAAGTGATTAGGCACAAATACATAACAGATGCAGCAAAAGACACGAAAGTGACTTACTATTGACTTCATCTTCCACAATTTCTCCAATGGTGACGTGAACCTCAGCTTTGGTTGTAGTAGCTGTTGGTCACATGTGCTTCATTTGCAAGTTAAAGAAGGCTCTATATGGGTTAAAGAAACACCACGAGCATGGCAGGGTAAGATAGTCGAATTCTTAGTTCAAAGTGAATATTCAGTAACACAGCAAACTCGAGCCCATTCGTTAAAGCGCAAAATGGGAAACTTGTCGAGTTTGAGGAAGAGCTAGGCTTGCCTAAAAAGAAAAGAGTTGAAATGAAAAGTGAATGTTGAAGGGGAGAATTGAAGAAGTTGCAACTGACTATGGCCCCAAAATCATTTCTAGAATTTTCCTTGTGCAGCCACGGCTAGAAAAACCTGGAAGAATTCACACACCATCGCCATTCTAGAGTCGATGAGAATTCCTTATAATTAATTCATGGAATTATCTAGAATCACTGACGTTTGTGAAGAAGAAAAAGCCACCGACTTCAGCGCCTGCATAGTGCATATATCTGTGTTCAATTGCATTTTTTGTGAAGTGAGAGATGAGAAAAAGCGGTAAGGAATAGTGCTGTGAGAGAGAAATATGTGATAGTGTTGCGAACATAATATTAGAGAGGATTGTAGTGGATAGTGGTATGTTTGTCCAAATTGTGTAAGTAATTAATATCAATAAAATTATTTTCTCTTTGGGTTTAAATTCAACACATATTTCATGAGTTCATAACATTTTAATCACGCATTTCATCAACTCGTATCAAAATTTATTTTAATTTCCACCAAACAGATGCTAAAACTCAAGATAATTTGGAAATTACTTCTTAAATGTAAAGATAGATTAGCCATACCTTGGCTAAATTATTTTCTTTTGGGGTTCATAACTTTTTAGTCACACATTTCATTAACTCTTATCAAAATCTACTAAAAAAATAATTTTTATTCCCACCAAACAGAGGCTACAACTCGAGATAATAATGTAAAATGGATTTTAATTGGAAATTACTTCTTAAAAGTAAAGATAGATTAGCGATACCTTGGCTAGAAATCGACCAATGATAGCAATCTTGCATTTGCCAGGTGGGGGATCTTAGGCATGCAATTTGATTACATTAAGGAAAAATTGAAGATCCTCATCAAGATTGGATAGTTAAACAATTTTCACAATAATGTCAAGAAATGATGGCAAAGAGAAACATGTGAATATGGTCGAGAGAATCAATGAATAAATAAATAACCTTGATAACATGAAGATTGATTGGTCAGTGTTCTCTCGACAGAATGAAATAAAAAATACAAAAAATAAAAAAAAATGCTAGAGTTTACAACATTTATGTTGGATTCAATAGATTTAATACATTAAATGAAATTATATTAAAAATAAAACAATACATCAAACAATAAACAACTTTTTGTTGATTAAAATTAGAAATTAGTAATTTATCTATTTTGACACTAATGATAAATATCATAAATTTACACGAATTGTATAGTACTTTGCTTGCACTCCATTTCTTAGTGAAGGAGAAAGAGTTTGACAAGTTGATTTTCTTATGAATTAAGCCTCTAGTCTAAAAGTATTTGAAAATCTAAATTAAATATACCTTCCAACTTTTTGGAGTAGTTTCTTTTAATTATTAAAATATATACTTAACATAACCATTCACCAGCAGCGAGATTTAACATTTTTATCCAATTTACACAAATATATACTTCACACAAGCACAATTTTCATAGATGAGTTGAGGTTACACTTGAATCCAAAATTTTATCTTGCTCTAATATTATACTGAATAACTTCATTTAAAACCTTAATCTATCATAGAGTAAACACATTTGTTTAAATTTTAGTCCACGTCAAATTAAAAAATGCAAGGAGCATCATACAAAGAAAAAGAAATTTTACATAAACCGCAAATATGTGTGCGGAAACATTCCCAAAAAATCTACATATAACTACCTCATCCACATGTACAACTCTTGAAAAATGAGGAAGAAAAACTTTCCTTGTGACACCATTAGTTAACTATAATTTAGTCATGTATGGTACACGAGACTGGATTACAAAATACGATGGATAAAATTATAACTTATTTTTTTACTCGATATCATCCAACATCGTATAATCTAGTTTAATAAGCACGCCATACATGTTGGCAAGTTTTTGTTAATGCTTACGATAAAAGAGGGGCTTCAATGTTTTCCGTGTTGTCCTCTAATATCCTGTTGGATGGAGCTTCGAGTTTTAGAGTACAAGCAAAACACAAGGAGATGACCTGAAACAATTGTGTATCATTAGAATCATACAAGTGAAAACAAGACTGAATTGAGATCTTACTATCCTATCATTAGAATCAAATTATCATATATCAGTCAAGACCACTCTCAAATGGGAGTATATAATCAGATCAATCACAACAAGATTCTCAGACAAAATCATATGATCCTCATATTGGAACCATACGATCATACAAATCACCAAAAGGCTCTCATATGGGGATCATATGGTCCTATAATTGCAACAATAATTATAAAATCAGTCATAAAAAAGACTTTCAAATAGGGTTATATTTGTTGGAAAAAATGGTTTAATGGGTCAACTTTGAGCCCAAATTTCAGTGGGACCCACCTTTTAAATAATACGGGACCT